ACTTTTTTCACTTGAAATTCGCATATAACTGCTTTCCTACACGACCACAATAGCAAGGAGTGAAAATTTGAAGTAATTCAAAGGCACACAAAGGACATGGGCTTCAAAGCCGTCTGTAAGAAAATAAGCCCCATAGACAATGTTGCAATGTCTGATGCTGTCGTGGCCACCTGAGAAGACGACGATTTCTAACCGGAGAGATCATTTACACAGGAAGTCATTTCCATAACTTCCGGCCGCCCAGTGTTGCGACGCGACATGCTCATCAATGAGAAGTTGCAAAAAGAAAAACAATATATATATATATCTTCATGACGTGATGAAATAGTTGGACAAATGGATGGATTTTTCTATTGTCGTGTTGTTGCAACAGAATATCGTGACAAATTTGATCAACGGTGTATTTATCCGAGCTTAAAAAAGGATTTGGGCACAGTTATACAGATGCATGTATTCGCAGATACAAATAAATGCTATATATATATGACAAAATACTCGAAAGCAGCTAACGATCTTAATAATGACGGTCATTACACGTCAATCATTCTGCCAGAGAGGTCACCTTCCAAGTAATCGCAGTTCTACTGTGATTGCGACAATGTAACCAAAGTCATTTCTACTGAAGATTCGATACTTTATACAAAGCTCTGTGTTATTTTTGTTTGTATCAAATTTGACAACGACGTGGACGACACCGGTTTGAATCCCCAGCAGTTGCGTCTTGACCTCGGGTTGCCCAATGAGTCTTCGTGACTTTCCAGTCCTATCGGAAATGGACGCTAAATCGGAGGTTGTTGAAGGGGACATTCAACATTATCATAATATTATATCCTGTCTTAGCAAACAAAGCACAACAGTAAAATCGCTACCTCAGAATTATCAAGTTCTATCTGCCCAGTTCCTAGTTTTGAGAAATTCAACCTCAAAATGTTTGAATTTCGCAATATGTCAGCTTTTTCAAAAGCAGTTCTCTGAATATCTAGATAACGACTCCGAATACTTTTACGATTCTGGTAGAGCAGATAGAGCATTTGCTTTCTGACCTCGTGGTCTTGGTAACTCAGAACGGCCAAAAATGTCAGATAGACTAGTACTTTGTTATTCTGAG